AAAGTAAACTTCATCATTCAGCTGAACTGTGCACATTTATTTTAGACACTTCATGTCTTGTTTAATTCATGTGATAAACGCATGTCCCTGCTGAGATGTGGGCTAGCGACTAATTTCACGGGCAAAGCAGACAAAATTACAATTTACGTATCGTCATTTTTTTTTTATTTATTTTTTTTTTTTATACAAATAAAGATTCATATTATATTCATGTATTTCAACTGTAGGGCTAATACAATATGTCCCCTATATGAATATTATATAGACCTATTGTTTAAATCAAATGTATGCTTTAAAAGTAGGGTAATCATAGCAGGTTTCATCCATAGTCTGTCCGTTTAAACGTCTGCGTTTAGCTTCAAATGGCGTCTTTGACTACAGTGTTATATAAAAATCATTTGCATTCCGATTCTGACATCCAAATGCACAACAATACATTTTTATCTTATTCCATGGATTTTACCCGTTTCCCTCCACTTGTTCCCAGTGTTTTTCTGCCACTACTATGCACGCGCACCTGCAAGTGACCTAACTGTGACGTCTACTCCAAATTGGTCTATAGTCAGTCACCTTTATATATATATACATATATATATATATATATATATATATGGGCGTCGCTAGGCCATTTTTAAAATGACTGCTCAGCCCCCCTAAAATTTTGCGATTAGCTCCATAAACTGTACACGAATCGTGATCGCCTCAGTCCCCTTTAAATTTCATATGGAAACGGCGGCAGACTTCAATCGGCTCCTCCCCGTCTTTCAGCGCGTTCTATTTCAATCCGCAGACCGCGGCGGCGCAGAGCGAGAAACAGAGGACAAGGTCTGTGTTTATCGATAGATTGTTATAATATCTACATCTGTGCAGGGGCGAAACCAGGGGGAACCCCTACTAGACCCCTTTGGCCACCCCACTCAAAACTGCTGTTTTTGTCCATTTTTTTCTTGACAAGGAATGCATTTATTAAGATGCAGAACCTTCAGCTTCACCTCAGCGTCAGGCGCGAGTCAAACGAGCGCGGAAAAGCTACAGCAGCCAAATGAGCTTCAGTAGAACAACTGTGAACTGCGGTCTGATGAGATGTTGTTAGACTATATGTCAGTAAAACATCAGCCGTTCCTGTCCCATCAGCCGTTTCACTGTGCTCACGGAGCACACTCTTCAACGGTACGCAAATATGTGGTGCACGCTCTATATCACTTCATCATAAATAACCCGCACAAACACACATACCTAGTTATGTCGTCAGCAAAGTCACGAAATTACCAAAAAGGCGATTAAAGCTGCAAACTGCATGTATACATAGCACACAAGAACGTTTTTCAAATGCATACTAAAATATATTCTGAAATTCGAGATCACAATATAAAGCATAAGCTGATGAGTATTTTTTATTTGTAATTTAATGCACAAATAAATGTGAGTGAGCACAATGCACTTATACTAGAAAATATGCGAAAATTAAACCATTTAAATGCGTAAAATAACTAAGTTTATATTCTGGCATTTATGTCTACTGTTGACTTCCGGCCTTTTTCACATTTTTATCACTATCTGCATGCCTCATCCATGAGTATGCAATGTTGGAGAGCAAGCATTTGGGAGTTTTGAGAAGCTGAATGAGCAATAAAGCTATAGTGAGCCCCTTTATTAAAATACCTAGAGGTGAGGAATAATACAAAAATTGTCATATTCACTCAGTAATACTTGATCTAATTCACAAATATCTCAATTACAGTTAAGTAGAAATTAATTGTACTCAGTTGTGTTTTAGGCACTAAAACAGTCCAATACTTTATAGTCAATCACATTTTTATATTGAAATAATGAAGATTTCTGTGCCACCCCAGACTGGTTGCTGGCCCCTCCTTGGCCACCCCTGTGAAAACA